CATAGAATTAGATTAGGGTGATGTATATAAAACACGTAATAAGTGACTTAATTCTTGGTCCTGGTAAATGCTGAATAAATGATAGCATTTTTTTCAAAATATGTTTATAATTAGCCACTTTCCTCAAAGGATGTTCATGTTTCAGTTACTTGACAGTCAAGCTCAATCACTACATCCCCATTTCCAACCTGGCATCAGACCTAGAGCTGCGGAGGCATATCTGAGGGAACTGGAAGTGCTGGTGTCACTCCAGTGTCATGGAGAGAAGATGTGTTCTTACCATAGACTTTAACAACCTCAATTTAAGTTTTGTTTTCTTAACTTTAGAACTTTTATCTTTTCACTCACAGGAAGTACTTTATGGCTTCTTTTTGGAATATTCAAATTACCAGCATCACTACTCTTGTGCTTTGGTGCCATTGTTAAATAAAATAAAGGGTTCCTTGAATATAAGCCCTGTGATGCTGATACAGTAGATTGGATCATCAGTGACTACAAAGTGATTCATGGGCAGGCAGCGTCTACAATGTGGAGACCCAGGACAGAAGGAGGATTCACATCTCTTGAGGGAGGAAGCAGGACAGATACAAGATTTCATCATGCCATTCTGAAGGGCTTGTGATATAAAACTTACAAAAAGTTTATTTCTGGACTTTTTGATATTTTCAGACTGCTGTCGACAGCTGGTAATAGAAAGCAAAACGACAGATAAGTGGAAACTACTACCTAGCTCCAGCCTCAGCCTGGGACTAAGAAACTTAGACTCTAAGTATGGAATATGAAGTGATGAGACATAGTCAAAGAAGGCAAAGGGAAGAACAGGAAGCTCAGTATGAGGGCTGTTTAGGCAAGGATCTCCAGTATGTATGCTCCAAACAGGCGTACCCTGCTGTTCTCTCAACCCAAAGGTCCAGAAGAGGAGAGGGTCCTGACCCTTGGTGTGGCAACAGTATAGTATATGTGGAGGTCAGTAGTTGGAGATAACGGATGTAGGATAAGCACAAGTCCAAGGATGATGGGTCTCATTAGCTGAATATTGCAAAGACTCATCCAGGATTGGGTGGGGATGTGAACTTATAAATAATGTTAGAGAGAAATTCCTAGGACAGTGACTTTTTTCTCCACCATCACCCCTATTTGCATGTCTGAGAGTGGTGTCAAGTGGGGAGACGGCAAAGTAGTGAGGAATTGGCACCTGCCACATTGGCCCTTCATTGGAACACAAAAGAAGACTGGAGAACAATGTAGCTGGCTGGCTAGGTAGACCCACTGAAGGACAGCTATGATCATGGAAACTAATTACCCGATATTCACAAAATGCTCCTAAGGAGTTGAGCTTTGTAGAAATTGTTTGCTGTCCATGAGTTTTGTTCAGAACACCTTAGCTTTGTCATCCGTTTCCCATTGAGAATGAACTTGGAGGAATGAGTCTTGCCTTCTGCTCTAATAGAGAAGAAAGCATGAACACCAGAACTCTTCAATCCATCTTCTATTTAATTTTGAAAACATGTTCGGATAACATCAATTCTTGGAGATAATTCTTGAAATAATTTGCCACATGATATTTTCATTGAATAAAGAATTAAGAATTAAGAATTATACATTTAATCTTCTGAATGGTATACCTAAGCTGTTACTTTAAGAAGAATTTATTCTAGTAGTTGTTATAGCCTGGAGTGTTATAAAAGCAGTACTGTACTGTGGTTATGACTTTAATAACAATTTAAGCAGTCAGGTTTCTTGCCTTTGATGCCACCAGCCTACTACCTTTCTCAAATGGGATAGTAAATGTCATCAAAACCCAGAATCTGGACATTAATGGCAGGATTCTTGTCCCTTTTTATTTTTTTCAATCAGAAACACTAAAAATCTGGCCTTATCATGATCAGGGCTATCCATTTCATTTTTTTCCAGTTCAGATGACTAAAATTACAAGAGATGATTATTAATGACAGTACAACAATCCTAGAAATAACAGCCCCAGGTTAACCCCCTTCTGAAACATCCCTAATAATTCACCTGTCTATATGATATACATATCAGGGTCCAAATTCAGCCTTCAGGATGTAAGCTCACCCTTTAGGCAAAAAAGATTCTATAATAAAGAAAGAACTGAAAGGTAAACCACTTTTGTAAATATTTTTTAGTCTGTTTTCATATTTCCTAAATAGATATTTAGTGCAAAATTGGCATTTATTCCAAACCACTGACAATAACCACAAAAATCAGAATTTCTGTCTACACTTTATCAAATGCTTACTATGTACACTGTTTCCTTTGTCTTGTTAACAATCCTATGCAACTGAGGTGATTATCATCTATAATAAGCAATTGTTCAGTGAGGCTCTGTTTTGCCCAGTGAAAAGTTGTAGCCAACACCCAACTCTTTGACTCTGCTCTCTTGGTGCTCTTTCCACCACACTCTTCTGCCTCAATAAGGGACTGGTTTGTGAAATGTGGCGTCATTGTCTACATATAGCACTGTATTAATTTCCCAGGGCTGCCATAACAAATCATCACAAATTAGGTTACTTAAAACAACAGAAATGTACGCGCTCACAGTTCTCGAGGTTAGATATAGAAAATCAAGGAGTCAGCAGGGTCACAGTTTCTCTGAAGATTAAAGAATCTCTCCTTTCTCTTGCAGCTTCTGGTGGCTCCTGGTGATATTCCTTGGCTTGTGGCAGCCTCACTCTCATCTTAGCCTCTGACTTCACATGACTTCTTCTCTGTGTGTCCTTTTTTGCATCTTGTAAAAATACTTTCATTGCATTAAGAGCCTATCCTTATCCAGTATGAGTTAACCTTGATCTTTACCTTAATTATATTTGGAAAGACCAGATTTCCAAATAAGGTTACATTCTGAGGTTCCAGGTGGATGTGAGTTTTGGTGAGACACTATCCAACTCGTTACAAATTAATGAACATTGTTTGAGTCCTGACAGTTTTGATGGGCAATCAGTTGCCCAAAGTTTACAATTTGGAGCTCCTCACAAACTTGAAGATTGAGTGTACTTTGAATATTGGTATTTTACCAAAAAGTAAAATACAACACAGGTTCTTCTGGCACGGTACTCTGTACCCTGCACTTAACTAAGAGTTGAGATGCGTGTGTTAGAACTTGCCATACCTTGCTGTGTATTTCTCTCCCAGTTACAGAAAGGTAGCAGACAGGGAGTGTCTCATGTTCTTGAGGCATCTACAGAACCTGTGGTGCATGCCTCTGACCTTTAGGCTGATAAAGTGGATGATCTCAGGTGGAAAGGCTGAACAGAGAATGGTCTTACCAGGGCTTCCTGAAAGGAGAATATGACCTGTTAAGGATTCTCAAATTCCTGTAATAGGGATCTCCATCTTTTCCCATAGAGAGATCTGTTTTCATTTCTGGGGCATGAGAGGGTGGGGTTTGAAATGGGTATTAAGTGAAAGTATCACTTATGTCAACATAAAAGTTAGTTAAAATCCACGTGGCAGAGTGAGAGCAGAGGATTAAAGTAAGAAGCTGACCTGTTGGCCTACATGTAATAGAATTGAAACTAAATTTTGGTCTGTTTGGTCCAATTTTACTCAAGTTGAAATGATTATCTTTTTATGACAAACATGAATACATGTTGCTTTTTGGAAATTTTAAAAAATATAATACTGGTAAATAAAAACAAATAACAACAAAAAATTATGTTATCTTAAAGAAATGTCTGTGAGTATATTTCCTGCTCCAAAGTTCTTTTATTCTTTTTAATATATAGCTTTGCATCCTGCTTTTTATAAAACAAAATTATAACTATTTAATGTTTTTGATAGTTTTAGACACATCATTTTAATGGCTGCATAACAGCTTATGAAGTGTTGAGTTTACATTAGATTTCTTGTTTACATTAGAAATACTACATTTCTCCACTATGAACATTTAGATTGGTTCAAATGTTTTTGGAATTACGAATAAAATTCAGATAGGTAATATTTCAGTAAAGATATCTTCCTATATCTAAGTATGTATTTTCTTGATTGTATCGATCTAGACTGAGTCTGCTATTTTTTTTTTTTTTTTTTAGACGGAGTTTTGCTCTTGTTACCCAGGCTGGAGTGCAAATGGCGCGATCTCGGCTCACCGCAACCTCCGCCTCCTGGGTTCAGGCAATTCTCCTGCCTCAGCCTCCTGAGTAGCTGGGATTACAGGCAGGTGCCACCATGTCCAGCTAATTTTTTGTATTTTTAGTAGAGACGGGATTTCACCATGTTGACCAGGATGGTCTCGATCTCTCGACCTCGTGATCCACCTGCCTCGGCCTCCCAAAGTGCTGGGATTACAGGCTTGAGCCACCACGCCCAGCCGAGTCTGGTATTTTTTATAACCTTAATTAATATTGAAAGTTTACTTCCCAAAATTGTTTGTCAGATTACACTGCTGCCAGTAGCATTCAAAGTACTCATTGAACTGAAACCTTGCCAGGATTAAAATGCTTTTAAAAGACTTTCAAATCTTACTAGCTTGAAAAATGAAAAATATAATAATATTTTACTTTCAATTGGCATTCCTTTCAAATGTAACATTTTTATCTGCATGTTTTAGACATTTCTTCTGTGAATTGTTTATGTTTTGTTAAGGGATAAATTGTGTCTCCCACCTCAATATGTATGTTAAACTCCTAAAGCTCAGCATGATGCCGTATTTGAAGATAGGACTTTAAGTAAGTAATTTAGATAAATTAGGTCCTATGGGTGGGCCGTAATCCAATGTGACTGGTGTCCTATACGAGGAGGAAATTAGGACACATGCAGCACAAAGACTGAACACAGCCCTGTGGGGACACAAGAAGAACGTGGCCATTTGCAAACCAAGGAGAGGGGCCGCTGAAGAAACCAACCCCGCTAGTACCTTAATCTAGGACATCTGGCCTCCAGATCTGCAAGAAAATACGTTTCTTTCTTTCTTTTTTTTTTTTTTTTTTTTCTTTTTCTTTGCATCCAAAACCTTTTTAATAGGAGGGTAGTATCCAGGGTTAATTTTTGGAGCCTTGGCTGGCCCGTTGGCCTCTGGTGCGCTCGAACTTCCGACCCTTGGAGCGGACGTAGGGTTTGGTGTGGCTGTGCAGGGTTCCCGGGGCCTTGCCGAAATGCCGGTACACCTCGCAGCCCTTGCGAGGTCCTGAGAGCAGGACGGTGCCGCAGCCCTTGGGGGAGTCCAGGGCCAGCTGGTCCAAAGCACGGATCTTGCCCCCCGCCTTGAGCACACGGCTGCGGGCCGGCTGGTCAAACCTTTAGTTCAGGCACCTTCTGAACCCGCACGTCACCCGCTGTGGTCCCCACAACCATGGCCGTTTTGATTTCCCGGCCAGGGATCTTCCTCTTCCAGATCATCCGGGAAAGGAACAGAGGTGGCCGATTGGTGCGACTCAGAAACAACCTCTTCAGCACAACCTGGTTGAATGTGGAGTTGGTTCGCCTGGCCAGAAACCTGTACAGCTTGACCAACAGCCTCAGGTCAATGTCCTGGCTCTTGAGCTCCTTGCGCCCAACCTTTCTGTCCTTGTTGTGACGGATGTCAGCTCCCAGGATGGTGCCTCCTGCTCAGCCCAGAGAAAATGCATTTCTATTGTATAAGCTCCCCCGGTCTGTTGTGTTTTGTTAGGCATCATAGCAAATGAAAGCACTGTTCCTTGCCGTTTTATTTACTAGGGTCTTGGGGCTCTTCCTAGTAATTTGTACATGCTTCTGTTATATTAAACATACTTACTGTTGTTTCTTTCTTACGTTTGTTGCACAGTGGTTATTTGCCTTTTGAAGATTTAGTTTTTTACCATCCAGCATGTATGTGTTTACTATTGTTTCACAATTATTTACCTTTTCCTCTGTGCTTTTGTTTTCACAGTGCTTCAAAGCTTAGAAAGTCAGTTTCCCTTAAGAGCTTTGATACGTTGTCAGTTTATTTTTTGTAAGTTTTTCTGTGGTTTGATGTGGATCTGTATAATATAACTATTTTCCAAGTTTGAGAATGCAGACTCACAAAAGTAGGTAAATTTTAAACTTACAGAGTAAAGTGTCCTTTAAGACTTTTATGCCTTGACCTGTCTTAAGTAAGATAAGTTATTTTCTATGGCTACTACATCTTTTTGAAAATGTATGTTGTCTAAATGGCACAATAACCTCATTTAAAAATATCTTCTGTTTCATAAGTATCACAGTTATTAAGACAAAGAACCTAAAGGTAAAGAGTAGCTACTACTTAATGAAATCTGCTAAATGTCTAAATGTCTTTGAAATTCTACTGAAGTCTTATTTCAACTGGAAGACATTTGTCTTGCAAGATGAAAGAAACATTCTACTCTGGCTTTTCTTGTTTTCACTTGTAATTCTTCTGCTTACAAATGTTTAAAGTCCTCCTTTGTGGATCTTTTAATCTAAGATTTCTACTTTATTTCTTGGAAGATCTTTCTAGAATCTATTTAGACATATCTCCCTTTTCTATAGCTCTATGCTTACTTCATTTAGTTTTGCTGTTGGGTCAATAAAAAGTGCCATTTCTACAAGGCAGTGTTTTTCATTCCCTTGCTGGTAGTGTTCTTTTTAAAACATAAAACTGTTTTCACTTGTGGGATAAAATTAGCTTTTCTGGAATCTCTCCTAAGTTGAACCTCTGTAAGTTGGTGCAAAGTAGTAGAAAATATAGTTTGCAAAACCACTTTAAGTATAGATTTGAATGACCTTCTGTGAAGTTGTAAATACTGTGTTATGTTTTTAATTTTTTTGTTGTTGCAAAATATATTGACATACAAGGTAGGTCAATAAGATACATTAATTCAACAGATATTTACTTAGTGCCCATTATAAGCCAGATACTGTCCTGCAGTTTGGGAATGCAGTCAAGTTTGTGGAGCCTGGTCATATTTCCTGGGTAGGCCTGGTGTCATCACAATCTTCTCTGTAAGTTAAAAAGTAAATGAGGCGGAAGTGTCAACGTCCCAGTGACATAGTGTGAGAACGACTACAGCAGACGTTGCTGGTTTTGAGGATAGACAGGGACCCTGAGCCAAGGAATGTGGGTGGCCTCTAGAAGTTGGAAAAAGCAAAAATCAGATTTTCTCCTAACCCCCCAGAAGGAATGCAACCCTGCCAATACCTTGATTTTATCCCAGTGAGATCAATTTTTTACTTCTGAACTCCAGATCTGTGAGATAATAAATTTAGACTGTTTTAAACCAACCCATTAAGTTTGTGATAATTCATTGGTAGCAATAGGAAGCTAATATAAGTTTTTTTGATGGTAACTTAATCTTGGTGACTACTGATTATATCTCTGTAGACCTATAGCAAATCTGAATGTAACTCTTCCTGCTCCAGCCTATGGTACCCTATTATTCTCTACAGATAACATTTTAAGTGTTTTTATTATAAAAGCAACTGCATGTGTACTATAGAAAATATAAAGGTAGTAAAGGCATATATATCCCACTATCCAGAGATATCCTACCAATCTTTTCACTGTAGGTGTATATGTGTGCTCTTAATCTATTTATGTATCTTATAAATCTCCCTATTCTGTTGGGCCTCAAACTGCCTTCATGTCCTTTTCTATTTTCCCATGTATGTGTAATTTACCTCCTCATCTTATTTGGAAACTCCTTGAGAAGTGAGACTAAGTCTTGTATTTCTCTATGTCTGCCATGCTTTGAGGAATGATTTGCATATACATACCATTAACTTGACAAATTTGCCAGTACATCTGGTTGGCCCTAAATCTCACATATTTTAGTATTTCCATCTTTTCATTGTTGTGGGTAATTGGAACTTGAAATGCTGATTCATACTTAGAATAACTCATAAAAGACTGAGGAACATAAAGTAAAATGCCAACTTTCTACTTTGCAGTGAGAAATGTAATTGTAAGGTGAATCAGATGTTTTCATCTACCTTGTCTGCTTTCTTCACAATGGAAAATTCATGTAGGGAACTAAATTGCAGATGGGAAGGTTGCTTGGAAAATATAGAATCAGTCTGATTGGAAATAATTGCTTATTTTAATACATAAGGACAATAAGCCCTGACCATTTCACACATCCATCTGCAAAGGAGACTCTCTCAGTAAGGGAGCCTGTTAGTTTTGGGGATCTCCTCTCTATGCAGTGCATGGTTAGACAACAAAAACCTTGGAAGTGTCATTTTTGCATAGCCCTGTACAGAAATCTGACTTTTATTCTATATCTTCTTCATTAGGTACACTAATGCTGTTTCAAGCTGGCATTTGAGTTTTTTATTTATGGTGACAAAACCTTTTTTTCTAGTGTGTTTTTCAATTACATTGATATCAACAGTTAGGAGTTGATTTTACACTTTAAATCTCAGTGTTTTGAAAGTGCTCTACCTCCCACTATAAATCCACTCATGTCTCTGCTTTCCTGTTTTCATAAAATTGCCTATATAAAACGCAGACTATTGGATTCAGTCAGAGTTTCCGGAATTTTATAGAAAGGAATGGTGAAGCGTAAAGTACAGATGATGCTGGGTTCCACTGGAGTCCATTGTTTTCTCCTCTCATTTAGAATCATCCAGCCCATCCCAGAGATAAAAGCTTCCTCAGGGGATAGAAGGGGAATAAAGACAGACCAGGACATGTCTTGGGTTTCTGGAATATGCAATGTGCTCATAGAGGTCAGGTCTTTTTCTGGTGAGAACCCGCATTCTGTTACTTGTTTCCACAGTGCTATTTGTGTTTCCAGCGGACCTTCTTCCCTCTCGAGCTTATCTATTTTTTTCATGCATCAACTTGTTTCATAGTAACCTAGACTATTACCTGCCATGGCTGGAGGCCTACTTGCCCTAGCTGCCTTCCCAGTAAATTAAAGCACCTCCTTCGTAAACATGGAAAAAATAAAATTGGGTTTGGAAATGTTATATGTCAGCATTACAAAATGGTGCCTCTCATTTATACAAGAAAGCATGAACCAGTCACCTTTTAATCTGCTATATTTATTAAAATAAGCCCACCATGGGCTTATTTTTCCACACTGTCTCTCCAAGTCCCTGTGTCGCCGCCTGTCAGATTTTCTCTCTCCCTCTTCTTGGTAACACCAACATCTTTTCAACCGATGTTTCTTCAGCACCTTTTCTGAGTAAAATGTTTATTTTAGAACAATGTAATATCCTAAACATATGTCCTTTTCTGGATCATCGGTGAATCTGCAACATTGAAACTTAAGTTTAACAGCAGTTTAATGTTTAATATGCATGGGGAGAGGAGATATGTAGCATTTATTGAACACCTGCTAAATGCCAGATTCTCCACCAGATTTTTTCATTCACAATTTTATTTAATTCTCAAGATAAATGATGGAATTCAAATTATTGTCACTTTCCTTTTGATCAAATGGAAACTTAGCAAAGTTAAGTAATTTCCCAAATAGGTGAAATAAGTGATGTTGTTATGATTTGAATGTAAATCTGTCTGATTTGAAATGCCATGGTTTTCATTTTTTCAATGGATTTACGCTAGTACAGTTTAAGCTCTATGAAGAGGGGTTTCCTCTCTAATTGCTTACCCTTGAGTCTTCTATACATACCAGTTGCTGGCACTTGTGATATGATTAATACTTACTTGTGGAAAGAAAGAAGAAATTGGTAGAAAATGGGGGGAGGATGACAGGGAAGAAAGGTACTAAAAGAGGGAAGGAAGGGAGAAAAGAAGGAATGGATGGAGGGAGAAAGGGTAGATCTTTGAAAATACTTCAGTTTCAGGACTTCAGGTGTTTCCTCTATAGAATATAATCTTTTTTTTTTTTTTTTTTTTTGAGACGGAGTTTCGCTCCTGTTACCCAGGCTGGAGTGCAATGGCGCGATCTCAGCTCACCGCAACCTCCGCCTCCTGGGTTCAGGCAATTCTCCTGCCTCAGCCTCCTGAGTAGCTGGGATTACAGGCACCTGCCACCATGCCCAGCTATTTTTTTGTATTTTTAGTAGAGACGGGGTTTCACCATGTTGGCCAGGATGGTCTCGATCTCGTGACCTCGTGATCCACCCGCCTCAGCCTCCCAAAGTGCTGGGATTATAGGCATGAGCCACCGCGCCCGGCCAGAATATAATCATTTTTATACTTGTGTGCATATCTAAATATTTAATTTTTGAAAACCCCCATAACTATATATGTGTATGTTTGTGTATGTCTATGACTGTATATATGCATGTGTCAATACATATGTACATGTATTTTCTTATGTAGGTATTTATGTGTGTATATATATATTCTTGAGTCTTTGAAAAGTTGCTTGACTGTAGTTCTCAAGTGCATGCAGTGTCATCCGTGTTTTTGAAACACTTTTGGACTAAGCCCACATGCAGAGATGAAAACCAATTGCTTTAACGGTTGAAAGAATATGAAAGCAAATTAATTCAGAAATTTCTGCTTTCTTGTAGATACCGTATTTTGGGCTTTCCTCTGAACCAACCCTTGGATACTTTTGTTTGAGTGTTTTTATTTATTCATTGTTTTCTTCTTTTGCATATGGAAGTGAGATTTTAATGAGAGAAACAGAAAGTAGGTGGCGACACAAAGGATGTACTTCAAAGGAGCTAT